TGACTACAGGACTGGTTCTTCAGCTTAAGTTTTTACATCTGTAAAATGGAATATCATAGCACCTACGTCGCAGGGGTGTTGTCAGATAAGACATGTAAAGCACTTTGCAAATATTAATGTGCTACATAAATTATTATTATAAAAAGATTACAAGAAGGCTACAAATAGCAGTTTTTAACTGTAGCAAGGCATAGTAGATGATGTTCAGTGGATTCAGAATGCTTTTCTTAATTTCATTTAGGTCTTGGGCACATACTTATTTATGTAGCTAATGTATGGAAATGCATGGCTCTTTGCATGTTAAACAGCAATTTTCCTGTGGCTTAATGAGGGCTATATGCAGGAATTCTATACTGCTAAAGTCCCAAAAAGAGTGATGGGGGCACATCAAAATATGAAGTTTACTGAAGGAGGAGACCAATTCTCCATCTCCCTCTTCCTGCCCACATCACTGTCTGACAGAGCTGTCAGCCCACACCAGACCAACCAGCAATCACTTTAATTGGTTGTTACGTTGTCCCTGGCTGTCCTGATCGACATTTCAGTTGGCCAATAACAACAGTGGAAAGGAAACCTGATGGGTCCTTTGCCATCCCTGCCCCCTTCCCTTGATTCAGAACAAAAAGAAAGACTGAGGTGTTTGACTCTGGGGACATTGGACTTGAAAGGCAGACAGCTGTTCATGGAAAGAAACAGCTGCTCAAAAATTTTAATTATTCCCTGAGGAATATTTTTAAAAGCATCAGGATGTTCTTGTGACAGAACTCATGGAAAGAGGAATATTGAGTTCTGTAAAGAATAGGAATGTTATTGAGAGTGAGAAACAGAGCTGAGGATGGCTGGGAATCAGGGAGAGGCCGTTAGGGCATTTGGGGGTATGAACCTCTAGCAGTACAGGTAGGGAATCCCAGGGACTTTTGAATTGTGGAGACAGTGTGGTATAGTGGAAATGGCACGAGCTTTATAGAGCTGGGTCCAAATTCTGCCTCATACTTACTACACATTTGACCTCTGTTAAGTCCCTTATGGGGCAACGAGGTGGCATGGTGGAAAGAGCACCAGCCTTGAGGTCTGGAAGACTCATCTCCCTGAGTTCAAATCCAGCCTCAGACACTAGCTGTGTGACTCTGGGCAAGTCACTTAATCCTTTTTTTGCCTCACTTCCCTCATCTGTAAAATGATCTGGAGAAGGAAATAGCAAATTGCTTCAATAACTTCGCAAAGAAATTCCAAATGTGGTCACGAAGAGTCGGACAAGACTGAACAACAACAAAAGTCACTTAAATTCCCTATGCCATTTTAAAAATAAAATGGTTGGACTAGATGGCTTCCAAAATCCCTTCCAGTTTCATTCAGTTCTATATCTGTGAATGGGTGTTGGTTTCTGAGCATGGAAAGAGAGTAGTCTTGGAGGCAGGGGGTAGGGGAGGTGGTCTGGGTTGTAGTGCTCTCCCATGAAACGGTATTAATGTTTGGATAATAGAGATAAAAGAACCTTAACTGATATTGTTATGGCGGATGTTAAATGTGATGAACACAGTATTTTCAGTTTCCTAATCTATGAAGCACTGACTACCTAACCCCTTCTGCCTTTAGGCCAGGTATGTTACATTTCACTCCTCTTCTAGGGTTTTTTTTTGGTGGGGGGGGAGTCTAGGCTTTCTGCCAATGTCTTCAACTTCCACTGATGGTGTTCCTCAATCCTGCACCTCAGTTCCGTTTAACCACGAATTGTCAGATTAGCTTTTACAACAGAATATTTACTTTAAAGGTATAATTCACAAATATACAAACTTATTTCTCAACATTTGTGGTTGAATCTGCCCTATACCACTTCAGTCTCTGGAGAGGAGGAAAGGATGAGGTTCACAATTAGCTCAGTTTCTATAGAGCACAGTTCCAAGTTCCAATTCCATCTCTCCCTCCCCCCCCACTTTTTGTGGTCAAGTCCCAGGCACTGAGGCATTTCTTTGCTCCTCTGCTAGGTTGACTGATCCCACCTAGAATCCTGGCTCCAAGACTGTGATTGCCAGAGCTTGAACTCCCAGGTCTGTAGGGGCTGAAGACAAAAATGGAGCAGAAATAGAAACACCTTCAGCCTTGGGGCCTAAAAGGAGAGAAGGCAGGGAGGCAGGTGCTAGTCCCTTACTAGTTAGTTCATGGCATGTGTGCTGTGGTTGGATTTGGAGTGATTATTTTTAAAGTTTTTGGATTTATTTTTTAAAGATGCAGCCTGTTCTGGCTACACAGTCAGTTGAAGGTGGCTGCTTCCCCCACATGGTAGAAGAATGGCAGAATGGGATGGGAACTCCTCCCAGGAGCTGCATACATCCAAGTTAGTAGATCTGGGCACTCACAAAGCAGGACTTATGACATCTGTGAGATAAAGGGGCTGGTCTAGATGACTTCTGAGGCCCCTTCACTTCTATTTTTTTTTTTTGGTTAGGCAGTGGGGTTAAGTGACTTGCCCAGGGTCACGTGGCTAGTAAGTGTTAATGTGTCTGAGGCCGGATTTGAACTCAGGTCTTCCTGAATCCAGGGCTGGTGCTCTATCCACTGTGCCACCTAGCTGCCCTGGCCCCTTCACCTCTAAGTCCATGATGCAATGATTATATGAATCTCCATTAGTTTCCACAGAAAAAGAGAGTGTTCTTCTCTCTTCAATCTTCCAAGAACACCCACCCTTCCCTCCCTCTTTCAGCTGAGGGTCTTGCCTCATATTACTAAGAAAATGAAGTCATTTGCTGTTAGGTTCCTCTTTTCTCCTTCTCTTCATCCCATAACCCCTTGACATCGTTCCCTAGTGAAAAGTTGGCCTTTCTCTTCCTCATGGCCAAGCCCTTCTACATCTCCCCTTGATTCCATCCCTTTTCATTTTTTTCCAGCAGATTGTAACTCCTGTCATCTTCCCTCCCTGTCTAATCTTGTCTCTATGGTTCCTTCCTTGTTGCCTACAAAAACACCCATATTCCCTCATCATGAAAGAACCCTCACTAGATCCTACATCCCTGGATATTGTCCTATATTTTTCCTTCCATTCTCAGCCAAACGTGTTGAAAAAACCATTTATACTTGTTGACTCCGTTTTCTCTCTTTTCAGTCCTGTCTAAACTGCCTGGCAATCTGGCTTTCCATTTCATTACTCAACTGAAACTACCCTCTAAAAAAGTTATCCCTGATTTCTTAACGAAAAACCTGAAGATCCTTCCCTGTTTCCTCATCCTTGACTTTTCCGGAGCACTAGACACTGTTGATCAGTTGCTATTGGATACTTTGTTCTTCTTGGGTTTTTCTCTCTTTTGGTTCTTTTTCTCTCTCTTTTTCTATCCTCAGTCTCTGTCACTAGATGCATGCCGTTCCCCCAAACTGCGGGTGTTCCCAAAAGTCTCTCCTAGGTCTTCCTCCTCTTTCTACACCTTCTTACTTAGCCAACTCATCAGCTTCTATGTGTTTCAGTGATCACTTCTTGAATATGAATCCTATATCCAGCCCTAGTCTTGCTCCTAAGATGGAATCCCTCATCACTTATTGCTTATGAGACGTTTTGAATTGGATGTGCTGTAGGTGCCTCCAATTTAACCTAACTCAAATACTCACTCTCTTTTTTCCCCAAACCCACCCCTCTTTTGAATTTTCCCATTATTATCCAAAGTATTACTGCATTTGTAGCTACCCAGCTTTAAAATCCGGATTCATTGTGGACTTCTCATTCCCTGTCATCTCACGTATCCAATTAGCTGGAAAATCTTGACTCTTTGTCCACACCTTCTCTTCCATCTGTGTCTCCTCTCCACTCATACAGCCACGACCCTAGTTCAGCCCCTCATTACCTCTTGCCTGGACTACTGCAATAGTCTTCTAATTCATCTCCTTTCCTCTAGTGTACTGAACCCCATCTCCCAACCATCTCCAAAAGAAATTTCCTTGAAATTCAGGTCTGATAATGTCATAGCCCTGTTTAATAAATTCCAGTGGTTTTCTATTATCTCTAGGATCAAATATAAATTCCAGATCTCATCCTGCCTTTCTAGTTTTGTTACACATTACTTCCACACCTTTTTATGGCCTTGCTATAATGGCCTTTTTGCTCTTTCTCATGCGTGACACAGTGTCTCTCCTCTTTATGCCTTTATCTTGGCTGTCCCCCCCCCCTTCCTGGAATGCTTTTCCTCCTCACCTCTACCTTTCAGATTCCCTGATTTCCTTCAAGATTTGGATGAGGTAACACCTTCTGCGTGAAGTTTCTCTTGGTCTCCCCAGATGCTAGTAGCCTTCCATCTCCTAAGGTCATCTTGCATCTGCTTTGCATGTGTTTTGATTAAATCCAAACAAGATGTTTCCAAAGTCTTATTAAAGCTTGAAACCTGCAGTAAGATCTTTTGGACACCCCAGTACATTTTAATGCTATGTGCCTTTTTAGAATGGGATTGTCCTCATTTTTTGTCTCTTTATCCCCAGAGCCTAACACGGTGCCTGGTACCTATTAGTGCTTAACAAATGCTTACTGGTTGACTGATCGCAGTGTGGTAAACTGCCAGCCTAACCTGGGAATCCCTGAATGGAGCAACACCTGCAGTACGGTTAAGGACCTAGGTTCAGCCCATGACTTTGCAAGGTCGTGAGAAGCATACCCCCAAGAAGCAGGTTATATACAAAGTACAAGGTGGCTTGACATCAAAGGTCGCTTAGCTGGTCTTCAGTTGTGCGCTTATGTAGAAGATTAGAGCTACGGCATTATAAAGTGCTAGCTGCCTTTGGCCCTCCCAGCCCCAACCCAAGTAGGGCACTGACCACTTCTGCTTCTACTCAGCAAAATGAATATAGAAAAGCCTAGTGGACAATGAGATAGTAAAGAATGGACATAGAAGAGCCCTGCAAAGAGAATGTCAGGTTATTATTAACCTGCTATTTTGGAGGTAGTCATTTCCTGCTGCCTGTCTTCCCCCCCATCCCACCCCCTTTCACAAAGCTTTGGCTCCTCACATCGTACAGCTACGGTCTCCAGAATTTAAACAAAATTCTTTATTCGGGGAGAGAACTCATGGAAGGAAAACTTCAGATGGGAAGGTCACCAGGACAGCAGACCTCAGGAAAGCAACTGTCATCCAAAGTGTTCTCCCCTCCATCTGGCCACTTGTCACTCATAGCCTCAGTCACTCTAGTACACCACACACAGCGATTAGTGAGGCAAGACATCTTCTGCCTCCAGTGTGAAAAATGGCAGTAGGAAGCACCTCAGCCTATACAAGGTACTCCGGCCCAGCGTCTTAGGCAGGGTGTCCAATAGGAGATCTGGATTTATATGATTAATATGGAAAAGCAGGTAGCCTTGTAGCCTGGTGAACGATAGAATTGTAAAGAAGAGATGTCCAAGAGTCCTGCAAAGAGAGTGCGGGGTTACCGTTCCTCAAACACACAGAGGAAAACTGGGGTCAAAGGAGTGGAACCTGTTCTTGTCTTGGACTACTAAGTCAAGGCATTTTTTTGGGGGGGTGAGGCAATCAGGGTGAAGAGACTTGCCCAAGGTCACACAGCTAGTAAGTGTCAAGTGTCTGTAGTCAAGGCATTTAAAAATTTTAATTCTATTGCTTGCTCCAGGAGCTGGCTGTCCAAGGATATGCTGGTAGATATTTAACCACAACTGGTTTCCAGAATTTTTTTTTTTTTACCATGACACACTTTCAAAGTTTAATCTTCATGATTGACGTTTTCTCAATCATTTTCTTAAGTCTGGACAATCAGAAAAACAATAAATCAGGAGCTGATTTGTAGTATTTGCCTTACTAATATCTAAAGTGTAAATGCTCACACTGAAAATTTAACAATAGGTTCTCATGAACTATGGAGCTGATTCTAGCATCAGAACCAAAGAACCAACAAGAAATAAGAGAATCTGCCAGAGTAGCAGTGCAGAAGAGCCGAACCCAGCTCTCTGGACTTGGGGGGCCCCACCCCACCAACGACCTGCACTTACCAAAAGAAGCTGGGCAAAGAAAGAACTCTTTTGTAGCCTCATGTACTAAAATCACCCTATGGGTCACTGTTGGGCATCTGCTCTGGACGTTTGTCACGGTTAAGTTAGGTTAGTGATTGATTGTCTTCAGGCGTCTTCAATACCAGGTAGCTCTAGAGGCTGGGGACCTTGTCCAGGGATTATGAGTAAATCTTTAATGGTACTTTGGGGAGTCATCTTCAAGGATATCAATATTACTTCCCTATCATCTCTGGAGGACTAAATGTTATTTGCAAATTAATTTTGCAGACAAATGAAACATCCCTTTAGGTATTCAATTAAAACATTGATGGGGATTTCTCTTTATCTATCGCATCATCATAATTATCAGCAACAACTATTTTACACTACTGTCTAAAAGAGAAAACGCTGAACATTAGACTTCCTTTTGATGACTTAGGTTCATTCCCATAGTGTAGTGATAAGTACACCAGAGACTGGAGTCAAAGGGGATCTGCATTTAAGGTGGGCTCTGTTATTGACTCACTGTGTTACCTTGGGCAAGTCACTTAACCTCTCAGGGCCTCAGTTTCCTCATCTGCAAAATAAAGGGGATGATCTTTAAAGTCTACATGATCTTTAAAGTCCACTTAGCTCCAAATTCTGTGAATATCAAGGATCATACTACTCAGTAATATGGTGCTGCCCCTCAGAAGCTCCAGGGACATGGAGTACGATTTACCCCTAAATGAAATGGCCCCAGACGATTGTCCTTTTTGAATTCTTGTGTTGTTGTGGAGTCGTTTCAGTTGTGTCTGACTCTTTGTGACCCCATTTGGGGTTTTCTTGGCAAAGATACTGGAATGGTTTGCCATTTCCTTCTCCAGCTCATTTTACATATGAGGAGACTGAGGCAAATAGGGTTAAGTGACTTGCCCAGGGTTGCACAGCTTAGTAAGAGTTTTGATTTGAACTCAGTCCAGATTTGAATTCAGGAAGATGAGTCTTTTTAGGTCCAAGCCCATCACTCTACCTGTTGTTCTACCTAGCTGCTCTTTGAATTCTCATGCCCAACTTTTAATACTATTTTCTGCCTTTTCCTTCATTGTTAACTATCACGTGAAATAATGAACATGAAGTATTTAGTATCCATGAATAATATATAAAAATGTTAGTTGAATTTTATTGAACAAAGTGCTGTATGAATGGAAACTATTATTGTTGTTGTTTCTTATTGATATCAATGGCAGCTTCCTTCCCCCCTCCCCCCATCTCTTGACTTAAAGCTTTTTAATCTATTGGGAAATCAGGTAACTAGGCATGTTAGAATTTGGCATAACGTATGAACAAATGGGCTCTGAGTAAGGGGCCTCTGGGAATCTTCTCTGTGTGAGTATTAGTGAATGGATTTTGTAAAATCAATTTATCTGCTTAGAGGATTTTTTCTGGCTCATTTCCAGGTTTTCTGCTAATTTGAAAAAGTTGAGATTAGCAATGACCTCTGAATAAACAAAACATTACTGTACAACATAAGGTCTAGTCATTGATTACATGACTATTACATTTTCTAACTTAACTGTATATGCTACTTTTTTTTTTTTATGAGGCTGTCTCCTCTCCATCACCCCCACTAGACTCCCTTGTTTGTGAAAAGGGCCCTTTATGGTAGGCTGGGACTCCAGTAAGTTAATACAAAGATTTTCCACCTACCTGTACCAGAAGAGGCTCCTCTTTCTTCCAGTAATGATCTTCTCCTGTAGTGAAGAGGCAAGGGTACTAGTGAGAAGGTAAAAAAGGGCCTATGATTTTCACTCCTCCCCCAAACCCTAGGAAACTGTCATTTTTTTTGGGTAGGGGGTCAGGTTCTAGACCTGTGATTTCATTGATATAGGAAACTTCTGGTATGGAGGCTCCCCCTCCAATGCAGACCATTTGAAATTTAGTCTTAGAAGTGTTGTATTGAGTAATAAGAGCTGAAGTATCTTGTGCCAGTGTCACTCAGTTAGAATATGTCAGACGCAGGACTTGAATCCTTTCTGTTTCCAAGGTCATCTCTCTATCAATTATGCCATACTCCCCTCCAAATTGAGTCTAACTACATTTATTACTTATGCCAACTTATTACTTAGCTCAAAAGGAAACTAAATGGTAAGTCCCTATTCCCAGAGAGAAGACAGAAATCTAGGAAAATATAATGATGGCAGTAGCTTGGATTTCTACAACACCTTCCTTCTAAATTTTTTGCACGGAGATTGCATTTTCCCCATAACTGGCTTGTGAGGTAGAAAAGGAGGGATTATGATGCTAATTTTAAAGAGGAGGAAATTGAAGCTAATGAGGGCAAGTCCATTTATTCAATGCAGAAAGTATTTAATGAAGTGCTCACTGTGTAAGACTTGCCATTTGGCAAATGCAAAGGCAAAAGTGAAAACCAGTCTCTGCCCTCAACATACTTAACTGTTTACTGAAATGATAAAACCAGAATGAGAACCTGTCTCTGATTCACAGTCCAGTTCTTCAGCCCATTAGGAAATATAACAGATAGCCTAATACCCTGACAGACATCCTATCTTGGGTTGTGTCCTCCTATAATGCCTATAATGACCTATGGCCAACCACAAAGAGAAGAGATGAATTCCAGAAGAGAACCTCAGGCCATTAACCTCAGCCAAGTCAGTCACTAGGTACATCTCAGACTTGACCCTAAAGCTTTTCAGCTAAAGCTTATAAACATATTTCTTTCCCATATCCCCCAGATTTTCCTCATTCAAGAAAACAAACCAATATCCTTGTCTCTCTACTGTTACCTTATGTGCTCAGAAATAATGGTAACTGTCCCTCAACACAAAAAACCAATATTATAGCTCTTTCAGAAGTCAAAACTAGGGCTATGAGAGATTCATTCTTCCTCTAAAGCAGGTTCATTTCCCCTAGTTCTAACAAGTCACTACTTCATTGGATATGAATTGGAGCTATACTGTGCGCTTTATTTTTAATCAACATTTTTACTTGCCCAGAGCCCTCCTTCTCTTACATCTTGGCCAAATTTATTTTAGATTGTGAGTTGCATGGATGCAACACAAAGAAACAGCTTGAACTTTCTTTGGTGATCTCTTTGGTCAGGTTTGGGGGATTCTGGAATGGTTGTATTTGGTATTGCACATTTTGACTCACTCTTTAACAATGAGAGTGTAGACACAAAGATCATTGGTAGGAGGAATTCCTGATAAGGAAGCTTCTTTTTACCAATGCAGGTAAGCTCCTTCTCTGCAACTTAATAGTGTCAAAAGAGTTGCCAACCAATTAATCAATCAATCATGTTTTTATTAAGCATTGAGAATTACAGGCACTCGGAATACAAGTACAAAAAAATGAAACAATCTCCATTTTCACTGAACTTACATTCTAATGGGGATACAAGAAGTACATATAAATATATGTATTTGTATGTATATATATATATATATATATATATATAAACATTTTACATATTGATGTTATATATTTATATATGTGTATATGCATGCACACATCATGCGATACATTGCGTATACATATATACACATGCATGTACATATATGTATGCATGAGTGTATACATGCCTGTATGTATGGATAGATAAACAGATAGGTAAGTGCTATCGTGGCTAGAGTACTGGGCCTGGAGTCAGAAAGACTAACCTTCTTGAGTTCAAATCTAGCCCCAGACACTTACTAGCTGTTGGGCCCTGGGTAAGTCACTTAACCCTGTTTGCCTCAATTTCCTCACCTGTAAGATGAGCTACAGAAGGAAATGCCAAATCATCCTAGTATCTTTGCCAAGAAAATTCCAAAAGGGGTCACAAAGAGTTGGCATGGCTAAAAACTGTTCAAAAAACAATAAAGAATCTATATATCTAACTCTAGATGTATGTGTGTATATGTATATATATACTTAACAAGTATATATATATACACGTATATAAGTATATATGTGCACATATACACACACACTGAAGTGACTTCTTCATGGTCATAGCCACTATGTCAGAGGCAGAACTCAAACCTAGGTCTTCTTGGTTCTGATGCCAGCTTTCTACCTGATATACCAGCATTGTTCTCATGGATAGAAATTTGGTAAGACAACATAATTTTTGGGGAACCAACCTCCTCCCCCCCCAAAAAATACTTGCTGATGAGGGAGGAAAATGCTTACCGCATCATTTTGGATGTCATCCACCAGCATTAACCCTCGACTTGCTGTTTGAGAGGATATACTTAGGACTTTTGACCTGGTGGAAAAACCCACAGGAAAGGGACTGAAAAAAGTACACTAAGATACTTACATTATAGTAGTTCAGGAAAAAATGGCTAATTTCATAGGGCTTTCAGAGCTAAGTCATAACCTGATACCTAGCAAAAGTATTGGAAAACATGACTTTGGACTCCGATTTCCCCATTATGTCACAATTGGTACTTTTATGAGAGTGACTTACTTTGATGTCCAATAATTCAGATTTGTGAGATAGCAACCTGAAAGGAAGCTCAGAGTAGTGGAAAGAACACTGAGTTGGGAGTCATAGGATCATAGATTTTGAGCTGCAAGAAGACCTTCAAAGCCCATTAAGTCCAATCCCCTGACCAATTTTGCAGATAAAGAAAACTGAGACAGATTAAGTGACTTGCCTAGAACTGCAGAACTGGTAAGTGTGTGAGGCAGGATTTGAATCCATGTCCTTGTAGTTCTAAGTTTCTAAGTCCAGTCTCATATATACTACACCATGTCATCACTATTAAAATAAGACCCGACTTTAAATTGCAGATTTACTACTTACTACACGTATGATCTTGGACAAATCACTATATCTCTAGGAACCTATGTCCTTGTGGATAAATTGAAGTGTTGGATTGGATATTTCCAAGGTCCCTTTTTCAGCTCTAGGCCCTGTAAAATATAAAAGGAACCTTGACCAAGGTAGTATTGAGCAGTATCTGCTATAGTTCCCATTCTATATTCCAAGTGGAGTCAGAGAAATGGGGGCACTGAAAGAATTACTACTGTATTGATTTCTATTGGCTATGTGTCATTTTCTCAGTATTTGAACTCTTCTCATGAATCCAAGGAACATTTTTCTTAACTTTGGATCTTAATTTTTTTTTTAATTAAAGAATGCAGAGACCCATGTGTTGTGAATAATCCTGAGCTCTACAGAAATGGAAAGCTCAGACCCTGTCCAGGGATTGTTTTTATAGAATTATTGGGGGGGTGGGGCACTTTTGTAGTCTGAGGGCCTTTTGTTTGTTTGTTTTTAAATTTTGTTTTTAATTTATGGAGTAAAATAAGCATTTCCATAATATAGTAAAATGAAAAAGAGGATTTCACTGAGTGGTGTTTTTTTTTTTTTTGTCATAGAGTGCTTCCTGCCAATGTTACCTTTTGCTTCATGAGCACTGAATTTGGTGTCAAAAGATCTTGGTTAGAATCTTGGCTCTGACACTTAAAACTTCTCTGTGTGCTTATGGGTAAGCCCCCTAACTTCTCTAGGCCTCATTTCCCTATCTGTAAAATGAGAGGAACTAGGCAGAGTAAAGTATATGCCACCTTCTTGTTTAAAGTACCATCATAATTCCTAAAAAGGAAATGATACTGGAAATTTCCACCAGTAGCATGATAGCTCTTAAACCTATGATCCCATCATCCCCCCAAAGCCAATATGGCTTATAGTGAGCTTTTCTCCTAACACAAACTTAAGTCACTGATCACGTGACAAAGAATGAAGAGAAATATGTTCCTTTTCTTTCCTGGGAGGGTTAGGAGAAGGGCTGGATTCAGTCTGTTTTAGTTGGGATGATGAGCCCAGATGTCCAAATTGGATGGATAGGTAGAATTGTTCCCTATTTGACTTTGGCCAGGAAAGGGCATGAGGAATATTTTTTTTCTGTTTCTGGTTGTCCCAAACTCAGCAAGCTGCTGGAAATGTTGCTAAAACCCAGATGGTTGTTTTCCAAAGCTCACACTTCTCTTTCAAGGAACCTGTTCTCTACTTCTTCTTCCATCTTCCTCAGGGCTTCTTGGTATTTCTTCAAAAGGGAAATAAAGGAAACTTCAATCACTTTTTGGAAGGTTCATTTGTTTTAATAAAATTATTATGGTTGTCATTGTTTTAATGATCATTGTTGTCAATCAGACCTAGGATTTCATTGGTATAGGGAATTTTGAGCAAGTGAATTCCTTCTATGAATAAAGACCACCAACTGCTCTGCATCTATAATTTAGAGAGTTGCTTAGGGCACTGAGTAGTTGAGTGATTTGTCCATGTCACTCAACCAGTCTGTGTCAGAGGCAGGACTTGAACCCAGCTCTTACTGATTCCAAAGTGAGCTCTTTATTGGTTTCCTATCCACTATAATATATTGATTCTCAGCCAAACCATGAGAATTGTTAAATTGTAGTATAAATCTATGGCTTTCCCAGTGTTCTCATCCTTTAACCATTCCTTCCCCCCCAACAAGTTGTACCAATATGGAAAACTTTGATGATGGTTGAGTTGGGCATCATGAAGGTGGGTAGATGGAAATAAAATGACTGAGTCATTGTTCCTTTAAGGGATTGCAGAGTAGAAGACCCAGGGGAGATACTGCTAGGAATCTGGAAGGTATAGAGGTTGGTGGATTCCCACCTACATGAATTTAAATTGATCTGGCCATGGGGGAACATGGCTCTGGTACATTCTATGACATTCTGCCCTCGTACCAAAAAGCTGTACCTTTATGCAATAGGCCTGGGCCTCACAGAGCTGTTGCACAGATTCGTATTCATGCAGTACCTGGAAGGCCAAAGTTCTGTCTTAATTCTTTTGAGTTCATACAAGAATGAGAATGTTTTTACCTATGTCCTGAACCATTGCCTTAGCTCTGTTATTGTCCCAACAGCCATTTTTATTGTGTGTCTGCATTCCCCATTCAGGAAAAATCCTCCCTATAAAAGGAAAAATTTGCTTTCCCTTTTAGAACTCGATTTTGAGTAATTAGTGGCTAGAAAACATTAATGGGCTGTTGGGTTCCGGGTATGGCAACCATTTATATTTAATAAGGTGGTAGGAGGAGTGAGGAGAGAGCAAGGAGAGAAGATAGAGTCTGGAATTTATCCTGTAAGAAGATATTTAGAGAAAGTGTAACTGGGATTTTTCTCAATTCCTTTTTCTGTATCTCCATAAAGGACCTAAATCTGAGAGTCTATCTAGTTATTGCTGGTCTAGATAAGACAACCTAAGCATGGTGCCTGACACACAGTAGGCTCGTAATGCTTGTTGACTGTTCCCTTCTCCCTTCTGTTCCCTTCCATCCTGCTTTGGGAAAGGTAGTAATTTTACCTTGTCCAGTTCCTTTTCTTGCTCCGCCAAAGAGACTTCAGCCTGTTGTATTTTCATCTATGAAAAGAAAGGGAGGCATGGAACTCAGCAAGGAGAATGGTAAAAACGTGAAACTAAACTGTATACTAATCACTTTCCAGTTTGTTTATCTCGAACCATCAGAAATTCAGAGGGTATTGCATGACAGGATAACTTACTTAGAGCAAGAAGGGATCTTTGTGGCTTCTAATCCAATATCTTCTCATTTGACAGATAAGAAAACTTAGGCCCAGAGAGGTTAAGGGGCTAATTTGACTAAGGTCACACAGATAATAAATTAAAGAGTCAGAATTCAAAGTCAGGTCCTCTGATTCCAAATCCAGTGCTCTTAATAGTATGCATTGTGATCTATGTCCACTTGTCCAGATTTTTTTTTTTTGATAAAAGGAGTGGAGGGGTCACTTTAGCCAGGAATACATTGGTAAACATTTAAAAACTGGACCTCCCTACCAAAAAAAAAATCAGGATATACTTTAAAAAGTTTAATATGCATTTTATGTATTTTCTCCATTACTTTCTTAAGTCAAGACAATTAACAAAACAGTAAATTGGATTGATTTGTAGGTTGGTCAATTTTTGAAGATGTAAATGCTCACATTGGAAGTTTAACAATCAGCTCACATGAACCAGTTCAAACTGGCTGCAGCACAACCTTTTTTCAGTTCCTAGAAATAAATTCATGCTCTCCAACTTTACTATCGTTTGGTAATTTTACTATGTAAAGTCATGCTATTCAAACTTTGCTATTGCTGAGTGATCCTATTATTCACCTCTTCTAACTTCTCTTTAGCTTATTCCCCTTTCCCCAAATGTTGGCTTCTAACCTCTCCAACAACTGACTAGCCTACTTATTTTCTTTCCTAATTTAACTATTTCTGCCAGTAGTAACCATCATCTATTTTCCCAATCACTCCAGTATGAAATATTTGACTCTTTTTCACATTCTGTATTCAGCTAGATTGGGTTTGAGAGTAAGAGATGGTTCTCCTCCTAACCTGACCATTCCTCCTCTTTCTCTCTTGTTGGACCCTCTTCCAGAACTTGGAACCTAATCATAAGTGTCCCTCAGGTTCTGACCTGAGTTTTCTTCTCCTATCCCTCTATACGATTTCATTTTGTGATCTCATCAGCTCCCATGGATTCAATGATCATTTCTCTGCTGCTGATTCTCAAATCCTCTTATTCAGCCTTAACCTTTCTCCTGACCTTTACTCTCATGTTTACAACTGCCTATTCGAAGCCTAAAACTGGAGTTCCCCAAAACAATTTAATCTCAACATGCCCAAAATAGAACTTATTGTCTTTTCCCTGAAACCTTCCTCTTTTCCTAATTTTGTTATTACTGTCCACATTACTACTATCCTTGCAGACACCTAAGTTAGAAATTTAGGTGCTGTCCTGGAGTCTTCATTGTTTCTCAACCCCCACATCTAGTTTATTACCAAGTCCTGTTGATTTAGCCTTCGTAACATTTTTCACATGTGCTTACTTCTCCTCTCTAATACTGCCAGCACTCTGGTGCAGACTTTCATCCCCTCATTTCTGGCCTATTGAAATAGCTTTCTAGTTGACCTCCTTACTGCAAATATCTACTCATTTGAGTCCATCATGCATTCACCTGTCAAAATTGGTTTTTCTACAGTGCAGATCTGATCACGTTCCACCCTTCCTCCCATTGCCAACCATTCAATAAACTCCAGTGACTCCCTGTCACTTTCAGTATTCAAATATAAAACCTTCTGTTTGGGGTTCAAAAGTTTCATAGCATGTTCTTCCTCCTGCATTTTTAACTTTGGGGATAAGACATGAAAAAGTGAATGAACAAATGAAAAAGGAGTTAGACACGTGGGAAGAGAATGATGAGATAGTAGTGTCACAGAAAGAAACAGAGAGGAAATGATATCCAAGAATACACTGTAGAGAAGTCAAGAAGGATGAGGACTCAGAAAAGGCCATTAGACTGACAACTTTTGAAAGAGTGATTTCAGTTGAGTGATGAGTTAGAAAGCCAGAAAAGAGAGCGAGTAATTGGAGTCAACAAGGGATGTGGCTGAGAAAGGGAGAGCTATAGGATGATAGCCAGCAGGGACGGAAGGTTCTCGTGAGAGTATTTTATGGACATGTGTGGGCAGCAGAGAAGGAACTAGGGATACTGATGATTGTAATGGGAAGTGGGTTGATAGTGGAGGGCAAACTACTAAAGAAGGTGGAAGCGGTTGGGATTCTGGGTACAGGTAGCAAAATTGACCTTCACAAGAAGAAGGCTGATCTCTTCATTAGACACTGGAGGAAGGAAAGAGAATGGTAGTTCTAGCCAGATTTCCCTTTTCCCCTCTCCCCTTTTTTTCTATTTATTATGTAATCTTTGACAAATCATTTGACTTATTGATCCTTCCCAGCCTGCCCACACACACCTCTTACCCCCAGAAGGCAGTGTGGCTCAATGAAAAGAACACTGAACATGGAGTCAGAGGACCTGGGTTCAAATCCTGACTCTATTACCTAACTACCATTGCAACCCCCCAGACGAATCACTTCAGTCTACTGAGTTTTAGTTTCTTTATCTACAAATTTATGGCATTGGATTAACTGATTTTTGAAGCCCTATCTAGATTTTAATCTATGATCTTGTGAAGGACTTTCTGGCAATTCTAAAATTCGAATGTCTTTCTGGCATTTTGATGAACATGGTCATGTCATTCCAACCTTTGGGTCTTTTCTTATACTGGGTTCCTCTATCTAGAATGCCTTCTTCTTGCTCTCTCTTTAATTATCCCTAACCTACCCATTCTTCACGACCCCAGTCTGGTCCCATCTTCTCCATGAAAAGAGAGCTATATTTGGAGTTGAGAGACCTAGGCTCAGTCTCTAGCTTTGTCACTTAATCCTTGTGTGACCTTGAGCAAGTTACTTTACTCTTTACATACGTAAAAGTACGTAGTTCTGCTAGATTGCCTCCAACATCTGAATTTCTGGCTCAAAATCTATGTTTTTATGATAAGCCTCTTCCAACCATTCCAGCCTGTAATGACCTCTGCCCTCTTCAATACTCTCAGCCTATTGTGGCTCTTCTGTACTTCAGTTTCCTCTTTTATACCATGAGGATAATCATTCAATGAACTAAGAGTCAATGAATTAAGAGCCTATTATGTGCTAAACATTGGATGCTATGATACCTCTGTAAGGAACAACTTTTGGGGTTGTTGTGAGGATCAAATGAGACAGTGTGAATAACAAGCTTTGTAAGCCTTGTCATGTCTAAGGATTGATAGGGCTATATTAGGAAAGGCACCTGCAGGTCTGAGTCCTTTTAAGCTTTAGTGTGGATCATGCAAACCTTAAAACTGTATAACTAAGTGCTCTTATTATTATAGGAAGCTATTCAATAGATACTTAAGATAATTTCAGGTCACACAACAAATACTATTTAAATGAATGAGTAAAGGTCAGGGGTCAAGTCTGAAGGAAGCTGGAATAAGGAATTTGGCTTCAGGCTGGAATTTTGAAACTAAGGCCACTGGTAAACCTGGAAGCTCTTGGTTCATTTGGTCTTGGCAGGATCTCTGAGCTGTGTGGATTTGTGCCCACCTTGAGAGCTGGCCCCTAGGGAATCAGCAGGTCCCTAAACCTAAACAGTCCCAGGAATAAATTTTCACTCACCTTTGCCACTTCTGGGGATCCCAATAGGTTTTCTTCCTCAGTCACAAATGCTTTGGGAGCATGCATTTTCCCTGAAAGCTGTAGTTTCACATAAAAGCATATTGAGCTGAATGAGATGCACAAACATACTATGCAGGGCTAATGGGCACTTGAATTTCCCATGTTTGCCAGGGAAGGGGAAGTGGGCAGAGGAATGTTGGAGGACCTGAATAGGAATCATGGCAGTAATTGGCTCTGTCCACTCTGTTCTAGCAAGCCCAGCAAAGGCTCCTCCTTTTCTGGGCCTCACAGTTCAGATACATACTTAAACCTGAACCTCACATCCATCCTAAGTCTGAGCCTGAATCTCAAATCCATTCTTAGTCACCCAGGGTTGGGGTCAACCATCTCAGAGAGCAAGGAAACCTTGGATAGGCTCATTCTGGTTTGATCCGTGAAGGATTTTCTGGTCATTTCTTTACCCCAATGTATGTACCATTGTTATCCCCACATGTTTTATAAATGGAGGGTGTTGAAAGAAGTGCTAGATGGGGAAATTGGGAACTCTTTGGGAATCAAGCATCATTAGAAGAGCTAAAGTTCTCTTGTGAAATTATCTCAAGGGCAGAACCATAACTAGAACTTCCAAAAACTTTGGCCAGGAAATGTGGCACAAAAGGGACCCTCAGGTTTTTGGGGTTTTTTGGGGGGGAAGGGGGAGAAGGGAAAAAGGAATGGACATTATTCCATATAGAGGAGATAGAGAGTCTAGAATACCATAAGACTTGTGCTGAATAGAGGCAGATATTTTCCCTCATCACATCTAGAAGAAGAGGAACATTAGGTAGTTTCCTATTTAAACTGACCTTGAGACCTAGTTTTCAAAGATAATTAGTTGTTCTTTTATACTTAACATCTAAGAGGTCTTATTAATAGATGGGGGTAGGGTGGTCGGAGTGGAGGTGGCAAACTTACAGCAAATAGATAATTGCTTTTGAGAAAGGGGCTGAAAGAGGGCTTGAAATCCACTCCCCAAACACCCTCCTCCCTCAAAGTATCATATTAAAGTTAGGAGAAATTAGAGATTTCTCTAGTCCAGAGGTGTCAAATTCACTGCCCATAGGGCTATGCAGCTTAATATTTCCCAAAATGGCCAGAATCAAATTAAAATATAACTGGGAAGTATTTAACAAAATAAATAAAAAAATAAAAAATCTGTTTTACAGATAACTTATGGTTTCCAAGTCAATATATGACCTTAAGGGGCCCATTTCTATACGAGTTTGATACCACTACTTTAGTCCTTTTAATTGATTTTACAGATGAGGAAACCAAGATGCCAGAGATGGGAAGTGGCTTGCCCAAGATGACGCTACTGAGAAAGGCAAATTTATCTCTTAAGGAAACTGAGGCTGAGTTAGGGTGGAGTCAAATGGAATCCCAGTCCTCATATGACTGCCTCACAGACTGTCAGAGCCAGAAGGGACCTGAGTGACTACCTTGACCAACCCCCTTCATTTTACAAAGAAGAGAATGGAGACCCAGAATGGGGATCAGCGCACAGAACCTTGTTCTGCTGACACTAAGACCTGCATTCTTTCAGCTAGGTTTTTGAAATATGGCTCTTGAATACCCCAAGAAAGGCAATACTGAGAGGCTAGGGAGAACTTCTAGGCCTGGGAAAGTAATTCCAGAATCCCTGAAATTGCCTTCCACCCCCTTCCCCTCAGAGGCCCAGGGAAGTTAAATGACTTGTCTAAGTCACATAGGTAATATCTTCATGGTAAAACCAGGATTTTAAGCTAGATCCTCTGAACTTAAATCTATTATTCTTTTCACTGTGCCATGCTGACTCCTCATTTACCATCTCCTTACAGTCAAACTCTATTGGAAAGACCAGCTCTGAACTGAATGTGCCTAAAACCTCTCCCCTACCCCCAACCTGAATTTAGGGAGTGTTTATCTTGAGGTGACTTTCTTTGATGGAAGTTTTTCTGCTCCTCTCCCCATTTTCATATTTTAATCCTTGTCTTCCTGCCCAATCTCCAGCTTTTAAGCCTAAGAAAATTTTAAGAAGCCAGGCAGGACCTCTAAAAAAGTCTTTGGGGAAAAGATGTTCCTGACAACGGGGAGACTGCAATGTTTCCAGGAAGTCTACTGTCCCTGACAGTGCTGGGAAGAGTAAGCGCCCTCATCCTCAGGTAGCGTAATGCCCCTCTCCTTGGGTAGAGATATATGCTGCAAGGAATGCCCCCTGGAGGAACACCCACTATTTAAACTGAAGGAATCAACTCCCTGGGCCAGCACCAGGTGGTAGGAAACGACTGGGCAAATATCATCTAATGGGATTCATTACTCATTCTGCTACCCTTCCCCATCCTCCAACCTGCCCCCCTTCCTCTCAACCAGGCCAGCTGAAGGGACCATGATCCTTGGGGCAGAAGTTGGGCACTGCCAGTCTCAGTCTTAACTTGAGGAACTAGGGATGCAGTTAAGCTCCTCCTCCTGCTTCTTTTCTCAATCATCCCTACTGTTGGATCCTTCTGGCCATTGAGATAGCCCTTTGAGCTCGCCAGTATCTGCCCTGCCTCATCATTAGGCTACAATGCTCCTGCCTTCTTCTTTAGAGGAATATAATTGCTTGTCATTTAGATTCCCCCACCCTGGGAAAAGATTGCTCTCCTTGGGTAATTCCTCACTCTGAGGCAGAGCCCAGATCACCCTGCCCCAGATGTAGCCCTACCTATTCTCCTGTATGGAAAACATAATAGGCTATCTGCTGGAATCCAGAGAACAGAGGATACTCTTGAAGGATCATAGAACATCAAAAGAGACCTTAGAGGTCATCTAGTGCAACTCCTAAATTTTTACAGATGAGGAAACTGAGACCTAGAGACATTATGTGACTTGTCTAAGGTCACACAGGTAATAGGAGAAAGAGCTGGGATCTGAACCCAGTCTGAACCCTGGCTTCAAAATACAGTGCTCTTTATACTAAATCAGGCTGCCTCTCCCCAAATTACCTAAAACTCATTAATTCATTTCAAGGATAGGTCTACTTCTTATCTATCTTTTATGATAATGAGCCTCAGTCTAGGTATAAGGGTTTACAAATTACATTAGCACCTATGAACAAATAATAACAGCTGACATTTTTATAATGTTTTAAGGTTTGCAAAGTGAACTATCTGTATCTCTATATATAGATATATAAAATCTCACGTCATTCTCACAGCAATCCTGTGAAATAGTACTGTTATCCCCATTTTACAGAGGGGGAACTGAGGCTCTGAGAAACAAAGTGACTTTAAATACCCAGGGTCACACAGCTGCCAAGTGTCAGAGGCCTGTGTGAACATAGGCCTTCCTGACTCTAAGGCCAGCATTCTATCTACTGTACTGTGCTGCCTCATACTCAACTATCTAAGCAAAGTATGGAGATAATAGCCCCTTTTCAGGAATGTGGCTCCTCTGTGGTTACCATTTTTTGGTGCCTTTTTGTTTAGTGAAGGTTGCTACTATGGGGACATTAGTAACCCTGTTGGGCTTATTAGAGTCATGCCCTACCCGATTCTGAAGTGCTGCTATACCCTGGGTTAAAGCCTCCTTGATCTTTTCCTGTGAAAAGAGAAAGAAGTTAAGTGCCTTCAACTGTCCATACAACGGTACTCATCTACCTTTGCCCACATCGATACTCCCTTGGAATTTGGCCTGTGACTAACACCCTTTTTGCAGAATCATAGAAGTTTAGCATTGGAAGGGGGCTGAGAGACTAACTGAGCCTGACTAATATCACCCAAAAAAGGAACCCCCTTTTTAATAAATGTTCATCTGGATCAAGGATCAGCAAATGAAGATCCATGGGCTAAATTTGGCCTGCCACGTGTTTTTGCACAGCAAAATGTAAAACAACCATTCTTAGCTTATAGGTCATACAAAGACAGGTAGCAAGTTGGATTTTGGCCTGTGTGCTATTTTAGGAAACTTTTCCTTACATCAAGCCCTAGCTTTTTTCTCTTTGTACTTTCTATCCCTCACTCATTATTCTGCCAATCAGAACAAATCTGATTTCTCTTCCTAAGGACTGCCCTTCAAATACTTGAAACCAACTGTCATGTTCTAGGCTAAAACTTCCCAGTTACTTCCTTTTTTTCTATTTGTATCTCCAGGGCCAAGTATAGTGCCTGGCACATAGGTGCTTGATAAATGTTTGCTGATTGATTCCTTCAGTTGACTCTTAAATGGTATGCTACTCAGGATCCTTCACTATCCTGGTTGTTTTCATCTAGATAACAATTCTTACCTGGGGTCTGTGAACTTTTTAAAAAAAAAATATTTTGATAACTTTCTTTCAATTTAGTTGTTATCCTTTGTAATCCTATGCATTTTATTTTATGCATTTAAAATATTATTTTGAGAAGTCTATAGGTTTTACTAGACCACCAAAGGAGCTCATAAGAGAAAAAATGGTTAAGAAACCTTGATCTAGCCTCTGACACTTTCTCTGCATATCTGTTATGTGGATTAACTGTGGTGAGGTATCACCACACACTATAGCTCTTACAGTGTTTCCATCATTAACTAATTTCAAAGGCAAATGCACCTCCTTCCCCCTACCTGTTTTCCTCTTGGTGTCTACAAAAACTGGGATTTCCCCTGTGTTAACTGTGCCTGGTATGAGAGCCAACAGAAGGGAAAAGAGCCTTCAGGAATTGTTGGGGAGAGACAGAGTAACAGAATGAGGAAGGAAGGCCCCCGTAGCTTCTTTGCCAGCCACTTCCTTACTAGTTTTGAAGTCTCCTGTTCCAGTTCTTTCAAATACTGCTCCTTTTCAGATAAGGTATATTCTAACTCTTTCCTCTCCTGTTCTTCTGCTAAGTGTGCTAAGCGGGCAAGCTCACTTTCCAACCTGTAGAACAACACAGGGGTGATCAAGGGAGGAATGATATTTGGCTTATTTCAATGTCCTAGGCTGGGAAGACTTATAATGACAGCCCAAACAAGAACCTCAGATTGGCAGTGTATTCTTTTCTGGATCACTAAGGGGCGGGAAAAAATAAAGAACCTCCCCCCCCACACACACACATTTCTCCTAACTCCTCCATTACTCCCACCTGCCACTAAACCCAACTTGCAAAGATTATCTTTTTTAACATGAACAAATGTCTAGGCATTTAAAACACAAAACACTTGAAACATTTAGTTTCTCAGGGATCCAGCCACAGACAAATTTGTGTAAGAACGTTGAGGAGGGTCCCATGTGCTGGTCCATAGACTATCAGACCTCTTGAGCTTGAGAATTCTGGGCTGCAATAGAACTAAAGCTACTGGGCGTCCCCACTAAGTCTGACACCAATATGGTGAGCCTTTGGAAGAGGCCATCAGGTTGCCTAAGGAGAGGGGACCCTGTTTCGATTGGAAGCAGATTGAATCAAAGCTCTTATGTCAATCAATAGTGGGATTGGGCCTATGAGTGGCCACTGCACTTCTAGCTTGGGAAAGATAGTGAGACCTGGTCTTGAAAAGAAAAAGAAAGAAGAATGAAGACGAGGGTCTTTCTTTTATAGTGTTTGACCTTCTGGAGAGCAGACAGGGAGACTTCAAGAGACCTTCCCCATCTCCATCCTGTCTTCCCATCTGTCAACAGGAGCAGTACCCTTAATCCCAATTAAACCCCAAACCCTCGCCTGTTGTTCTCATCTTCTTCCTTTTGAATTTTTAATAGAAGAGACTGGTTTGCCTCGTCTATTCTCTGTAGATCCTTTTCAAGGTCCATGTTCAAACTGATAAGGGTCTTCTTGGACTGTTCCAAACGTAGGATTTCCATCTTTTGGGAGGACCTGTAGACTCCATTCAGAAAAATTGATAAGAAAGAGATAACCAGAGAACAGCAATGTATATACATCTCTCTGGTTCCTTTGGGGATCACACACAAACCAGGACCCCTTACCTTTTATTATCTTGAAAAGGGAGAGAGTTCATAATTTTACCAGGTAGCCAGGGAGATATTTCCTGAGCCTTCTCCATATTATTCCAGGGCAGAAAAATTCCCCTCCCCTCCCTATAAAAAGTCCCCCTCCCTATTCTATTAGTCTGATAAGGGTATAAAAGGACTCAAACTAAAGGCAGGATTTGTTCTCTGAAATTGCCTTTCCAGTACAGGGAGAATGCTTTTCACTGCTGTAGGTTTTGTGTTTTCCTCCGTCCCAGACAGGTGGCAGAGCTTGTACTGCAATATTGCTATGGGGAGAAACCCTCCCTGAGTGTTACTTACCTCAAAGGTTAGCTTTATGTATATAATAGGCCACCTAGATGGTATTATGGTGAGGACTCTTCGTCCCCAGATGATATTCATCTACCTGCCTGCCATTGACTCTTTCTTTATAGAGTCATTCCTTAGGGGTAGGGGATGTGTCTTTTCCAAGTAGTCTTTTAAAATGCATGAATCCTGAGGAAGAGAAATTCCATTAAATTCTTCAGAGTTATTAATACCTGAGTGTGAATTAGTGACTTAATATTCTCCCCTCAAAACTATCTTCTGTGCTCTGACAGCATGTCACTGAAGGAATTGGAGTTTTTAGAGAGGAAAGAGGGGAGAAGGGAATGGGTAATTTTGTAGTATGGAGTATACATAAGGCCTGGGGAGGGGGGCACTGCCGTGGTCCAGGGAGCATTAAAATGCTAGGTCATCAGAGTGGCAAGAGCAGGAAAGAGAGGAACACAGAACCAGGAGGCGAGAGTACACACCAGAGACACAGTTTGGAATGAGATTAGAGTCCTCATTACTCACTCATTTTCCAACAGGGTCTGCTCTTCTTCTTCCATTATCAGTTCCCTAAAGTGCCAATACAGAGAGATGTTTGCTAGTGAATTGTAGAAGTGGATCTCATCCTGGTTCTTGGAATAACTAGCCCAGGAATACAATAGACATGGGAAAAACTAGAGTCATCAGTCTCCATTTCTCTCTTGCCCCCAAATCCAGGCCATGATAACTCTGGGCCTTCTGATTCCTAGCTTCACTCTGACTCAGATTGTTGTTCCTTTCTGTGCTTCAGTTTATCCAGAAAAAGGATATATTTTGGGGAAGCTTAAGCACCCACCAGCAAGTAGGTACATTGGCCTCTCAATAAACAAAATATTACCATACAACGTAAGATCTAGTCACTGAGTACACCACTTAAATTCTCATGAAAACTTATAAAAAAAATAATAGCTGAAACAGAGGTGACTGAAGGAATTACTCTTAGGCCCTGGTTTCCTGTAGGCCCAGCCTATTTTCTTTAAAAAGGCCCTTGGAGTGTGGGCATGGATGGATGTGCATGACTCTCCTTAAGGAGCCATGTAAACACATTGGGTATTTTGTCCTGCTAGAGCCCAGCATCCATAACCTTGTACTCTTCGTAACAAACAACACCCTCTATTTCTGACCAGGGTTCAGAGAAGTCAAGACAATGTTTCTTAGCCCAAAGTCAAGTGAGAAAAGGAAGAAGCGAGGCCTCAATATCTCTTTCTCTGGTCCTCTTGCTTTTTCTTCCTTCTTCCTTTCCTCAGACCCCACCTCCCGCCAGATGTGAACTTGTCCCTTCACTGCCCCAGAACACTAGCTTTTCTAGAGTCTCTTCTGCCTCCCAACTAAATCTTCCAAATGAATTTCAGGACCTTCAGAGAGAGGTCACTTCCCTGTTGTTTGATACAGACTGCTTGGTTCCCCCAGGGGAGGCTGGGCCTCTTCTGTCATCCAGAGTAGGGTGGGGCACCATGTCATAGGAGGGCGGTTGGTAATAGCCTCTGCCATCACTGTGGGGAAGCTACCTGATTGGGCACAAATAGGTACACCGGCTGAAACACTGGTTCTGTAACACTGGTCAGCTCATCTTTCCGAGTTGCTCTATTAGTTCAGATAGGTGATTTCCCTTTGCGTAGGGAACTAATTCTTGCTGAGGAAGATCCTTCTACCAACAGAGATCAGCAACTATCCGGTGACTTATAATCTTAAAGAGTTACCTGGGAACATTGGAAGGTTGGGCAGTCAACTTGTCCAGAGGCTGGATGACTTGTCAAGTGACAGACGCATAGTTAGTAATTATGAGAGCCAGGATCTTCCTTTGGAGGCTAGCTTTCTATCACTATGTGGCACTGCCTCTCTGGGGATGGTGGTGGTGGTAATTGTAATAGTACATTACATTTGTACAGGGTGTCTCAAAAGTCTTACTCTGGTTTTAAGCTATTAAAGCTTTGGGACACCCTCTAAAATACTTTATGATTTACAAAGGGGCTTTCCCATACAATTCTTGGATCCCCTTTGAAAGGTGATTTTGTATTTGTGTGTATTCCCTCCACTAACATGAATTATAATCCCTCCATGGTTTATTAGTGGCCATAAGTAAAAATTATATCAGCTGGTGGCCGTCCTCATGAGGATCCCCCTAGGTTCTTGAAAGTATTACCAGCAGAAAGAGAGGTTAGACAGGTTAATCAAGCTGAAAAAAAACTGTGTGAGTCTGGGGCCAGAATGTTTGTGAACTTTATTGGACTCCAGAGTAAAGGAATCATCCTAACTCATATTTTGGAATGAGTACTTTTTCTCTCATTTCAAGCCTTATTTGGTGGGTTTTAGTGTTGTGGGCTCTAGTAAGGATTCAGTAGGTGAGCTTTTATGAATAACATGTAGTATCACCTTTGTGCTAGGATCTGGGTTATGTGTGTGTGTGTGTGTGTGTGGACACCAGCTGTTGTATTTGTACATGAGCTCTTAATATATAACCTGAATTTACTAAGGTCTCTCTCACTTTTTATTCATAATTCTCTGCTGCTTCTGACTTAAATTAAAAATAGAATTTTCCCCTGAAGATCATTAAGACCATGTAACCACATGTAACCATATACACATATATGTAACCAACTCTTGCTTTTTCAGTGTAATTGGGGTATTGAGGGGAGTAGTGTTAGAAAAGATGATATAAAGTCACCATTAGACCACTTACTAAATATTCTGAAAAATGTCTAGTGATATGGCTACATTTTTTTTTTTGGAAGGGGTCTCATTAGGGGAGAAATGGGACAGAAAACATGCTGGGAGGCCCCATTTTGGTGAGGCTTTGGATCATACCATTCATTGTCTTTAAATTTTCTGTTCAGGTGTTAGCATTGTAGGCTATGGTACAATGAAAAGCTAGACTCCACTGAAACCAGTGCAGAGGTAACATGTTACAGTGGAAATGGTTTTGCATTTCAAATCAGAGGATCTGGGATTGGATAAGTCTTTGCCCCTTCTATCTGTGTGACCTTGGGGTGAGTCACTTAAAATTGATGGGGCCTAGTTACTTCATCTGTAAAATGGTAGTGGTGGTGGTGCAGAGGGGGCTGGACTAGACAGATGGTCTCTGAAGCTGTCCACATCTAAATCTATTATCCTATGTTAATATGGCTCACAGAGTCATATAGGAACTGATCTTCTCATCCTTTGATATATATTTCATTTTTTCTGAGTCCTTTTGCTAGCTACATAGTAAGTAAATATTTTTGTTGGTCTGAGGAAAACGCATCTATTTATTTTTTGGAGGAGAGAGAGAGGAGAAAGCTGAGCCCTCATCTACTAATCTTTCTATTTATGTATCTAAACTAAACTACTTGACTGAAATCTGCAAAATTGGCATTTCCCTGTGGATAATCCACAGAGAGATGCCCACAGAAACCTAAGGAGTCGTAGGTCCCTACTAATAAGGACCATCCTGAATTGATTTGTGGGCCAATGTGACTTCTTAACATACTGTAGTTTCTAACAAACTATTTGTAAAATTAATGGCCTCTGATGACCCCCATTACCATCTCCCTCCTTCCTGAAAGAAGGTATTTCACTGCTTTATGAAGCTGTACACAGAAGAGTAATTAAGTAACAATTCAGGCCAATGGCCTCTCCTAGGAATTAATGAGAGGGAGAGTTCATTAACCCCAGCTGGTTATAGCTTCTTCAGGAAATGCCCTGGACCAAGGTTATTGTGGCTATTAATGTATTGGATAGAATCTATAACTGGGATGCAAAAAAAATTGGGATCTCCTTTCCAGGGTGTCTTTCTCCTTGAGGGTCTCTCAAAGATAAACTGGTAACTGAGGCCTTTTCTGAGGATTTTAGAGTGATTGTGAATAGGACATTTCTATCAGCGGGGGAAATGATGCCCCATCGTAACAAAAAAGATGGCACGCCAAGGTGTGTGATGTAACTTTATAGCTATTCTTGAGATCTCATTTCTAGCTGGCAATTTTTCTATGCCCTGGATGGTAGGAGTGTTACCAGCAAGATTATACTTCTGTCTTCCTGGCTGCAAGCACGTAGACAAGTCTGGCTCATTAATGATAACTGACACTGGCATAGCACTTTATGGTGTGCAAAGTGCTTTCAAGTACATGACGTCATTTCAGCCTCACAGGAATCTTGCCTGGGTGGGTTCTGGCCCTGTCCTGTGGTATCATGTAGGGAGCTTTGCATCAGGAAACACCCTCTCCCAAAGCCAATCAACAGCAGTAACTTATAGTCTTAGAGAGTTGTCGGGGGATATTGCAAGGTCAATTGACTGGCCTAGGGCCACACAGCTTATATGTTTCAGAGGGTGGACCTGAATCCTTGAATTCCTCTGTTGTCAGCTGTCTATCCACTATGCCTCACTGACTGATGATATATCATGTATTCTCTATAGGTCTTTCTATCTCTCTATCTGTATTTTTATTTTAATATTTATTTATTTATTTTCGGAGGCAATCAGGATTAAGTGACTTGCCCAGGGTCACACAGCTAATAAGTGTCTGAGGCTAGATTTGAACTCAAATTACCCTGACTCCAGGGTTGGTGCTCTATTTGTTGCACCACTTTGTTACCCCTATCTTTATTTAATTTTTTTTTTTAGTCCAGACCATTTGATTTTATACATGTAGGGAACTCCTTGCCTAGAAATTCCCTCCACCAACACAGGTCAATAACTCCTCAGAAAGTTATAGGCTGAGACATTTTCTTGGATACTGAAAGGTTAAGTGATTTGCTCATGTATGTGTCCGCGGCAGGTGAAATTAAGGCTTCCCGACTCCAAGGCTGTCCCTTTATATGAGATGCCTTACTGTCTCTCACCTATAGCAATTGTTCCCCAAGTTTATAGAATATGAAGGGGCAAAGTGTTAAGCAGTGAGATTTGAACCTAGGTCTATCTGACACCAAATCTCACACTCTTATCCATCGCACCACGGGGCGTCTATTGTGAAAAAGACAGTCTACTCTCCAGTCTAGGGCTGTGGTCTCACTGGGGGCTATGTATGTCTTGGTGTAGTAGCTAGTTCTGGTTTCCTGCCTCATGGGCATTGTATGGGTGTCCCAAATGGACTGGGTTATTTATGATGATCGAGTGTCAAGGTAGGTATTCCAGCTGCTCTCCGTGGTGTCTCTATCTGTAATGGGAGCCACGGTCCCTATGGCCACTCACGGCACTTGCCGTCGCTCCCGCTTTGGCAATTGTTTCTGTGTCTTTCTGTCATCCATTCTCATCTTTCCCGCAGCTTAAGAACGCTAAGGAGTCGCAATGAGCCCAGAAGGGACTGTATGATCTCATTATTGGTAACCTGTTCTCACCATTCAGAATTACTTATGCTCCATTCCTGTCGTCCTTACTTTTTCTTCAAGAACCTAAGGTTTAAAAAATCCTTTTGGAAATCTCAGAATATTCCCTTTTCCTTGCAGTTCTCAAGTGCAGGCACTTGGAATGGAGCTGGAAACAGACTGCAGGAATTTCCTTCAGTTTGAGCTGCCACAAATAATAATTTTAAAGTAATGATAAAAGCCAACCTTTATTAAGTGCTTTAAGGTTTACAAAGCACCTTATATACATTATCCTATTTAATTCTCTATCACAATTCATGAATAAACCAGAAGATCTTTTTAAACCAAACACCTATTAAACAACAGTGCTGTAAGTTGGAATAAATGTATATATTTTCTAAAACTATTGAATAAAAGCTTCTAACTATTAGAATTAATTCTCAATCTTGAATCTGCATGAAGGGAAACCATTTGATCACTATTTTATAAATGGGGAAGTCAAGGTTCAGAGAGGGCAAATATTTTGCCAGAAATTATAGAGCTAGTCAATAGATAGCCTCAATAATAGGCTTTTCCCCTCTTCCAACCCAACCAACCCTTCCTCCTTTCTTTCTCTCCCACTCCATCCCTCTGCCCCCTAACCACACAAGCACTTTTTTGCTCTCCTATGAGCTTGGGAAAATGGAATAGAAAATGGAAACTTATTGCATTTTAATCATATTCTATATGGCAGGGGCTCCTCATTGAATCCTTTGAAATGGGTGAATATAGCTTATAGGGTCAGTTATGTCCCTCTTATTCTTTCCCAGATAAGTGACCCTTGGTCTCTACTTTATAAGGCTGTTTCTCTGGCTGTCATTTTGCTAATCTGAACCTTAGAAATGACCAGTTAGTGGATGACAATGAAAATGAACAATGATGCTCATTTCTCAAACTCTTTCTAGGGAAGAAAATTATTTCCCCTAAATTCTGTATTAAATGTAACTCTCAAGTCACCATTAATCCATCATGTTTGGTCTTTTCCCTACACATTATAAAAAACACTTTTGAATTTATTCTTTTCCAATATTGCTAAATATATAACTAAAAAAGAGGCTTCAGTGTTGAAATT